AGTAGTAGTAGTAGTAGTAGTAGTAGTAGTAGTAGTAGTAGTAGTAGTGGTGGTGGTAAGTACAAGTACAAGCACAAGCACAAGCACAAACGCAAGTGCAAGCGCAAGTGCAAATGCAGTGTGCAGTTTCAGTAGTGGTAGTATCAATATTAGCAATACCCGCAGCTGCAGGAGCACTGCCAGAAGTAGTCGGCGTCATCGTCGTCGTCGTTGTAGCTGTACCTGTCGTAGGAGTCGTGGCAGTGGCAGAAGCAGCAGCAGCTGTAGCGTGCGGTCAATAGCAAAAGCAGTAGTGGCATCAGTACTTACTAGTGGTCGCCTCGCAGCAGCAGTAGCACGACAGCAACAAAAGGCATATAAGGAGCAGTGGTGCGCAGGTCTTAACGGCCTTCTAGGGTCTAGAAGAGACTCAGCAGACAAGATTCTACGCATCGCCGCAACCTCCCAAGCTTCGAGACAAACTTTTCACTCCAAAACTATAAAGTCTTCCGTTGAACTCTCACCTCAAGCCTACCTCGTTCAGGTTCAATCACAACCTCAAAAAACGCCCCTTGTGCCGCAGTGTGACTTTTGTGCAGGTTCTTGGTGCCATACGTGGGGCATCACACGCAGGAACGGAAATTACCAGTAGAGCCGGTTGTTTGCTGCTCGCAACGGTTCGGGCGGGGGCCGAAGGGGCTTGAGAAGCTTCGAGGGTTTAGGGTGTAGGGTTTAGGGCCCAGATGCCACAAATTGCTAAAATTGAAGCATCTTACGCTTGATTCGGGCCGGAAGGAAGTGATGTACAGCAACCTGGTCGTCTGGAGCTTGGCGATGCATTCTCTGTAAGATCATCGTCCCAACATCCTCCATCCTGGCTATGGCTTGGTGTAGTAAGTGTCGTAGGACACGTCTTGAATTATATTTCGGGTGGTGGGGCTTCGGGTTCAGCTGGTTTGGTTTATGGTTCATGGTATGAACCGGTATCTACAGAGACATAGTGTTCACACAAGCAAGCAGGCTGACATCTTGTGATAACCCCAATGCCGAGCAGACTGTCACACGTCATAGACAGGAATTTTCATCAAGGGGAAAAGGAGGGACCCTTAATGGGGACCCCTACCCTACAATGGGCTATATAATGGGTATATACTAGCTATATTAAGGGTATATACCTAGGGGTCCTTATTAAGGGTCCCTCCTTTTACCCTTGGATCAATGCTGAAAACCTTTCATGAAAAAGTGCATCAAATCCCGTAAACCAGGCAGAACCTGACTGCGGTTGTGGGGTTTGGGTTAGAGGTTTTAGGGCTTGGGGGCTTTATGGATCAGCAGTTCGGGGGTGTGGGAAGTGGTGTTTTTTTTTTTGCTGTGGCCCCGCCGGGTCTTTTTAGACCCGATGTAGTACACCAGACATTTTTTGTTATTGGCTCGCCGAGTTCGGCGGGGGCCGCAGCAAAAAAAGAAACACCACTCCGGCGGAGGAGAAAGCATCGCTGCCCAGGCCCGCGCCCCGAAAAGGTCGCCCCGGGCCACAGTGAGTGAGTGAGCGTCCGGGCGGGGCCGCAGCAAAAAAAAAAACACCACCCAGACCCTGCCCCGGAAGGGTCGCCCCGGCCCACAGTGAGTGAGTGAGCTTCCGGGCGGGGCCGCAGAAAAAAAAAAAACACCCCGACGGCGAGCGGGGCCGCAGCAAAAAAAAAAACACCACTCCGGCGGAGGAGAAAGCATCGCTGCCTAGGCCCGCGCCCCGAAAAGGTCGCCCCGGCCCACAGTGAGTGAGTGAGCGTCCGGGCGGGGCCGCAGCAAAAAAAAAAACACCACCCAGACCCTGCCCCGGAAGGGTCGCCCCGGCCCACAGTGAGTGAGTGAGCTTCCGGGCGGGGCCGCAGCAAAAAAAAAAACACCACCCAGACCCTGCCCCGGAAGGGTCGCCCCGCCCCACAGTGAGTGAGTGAGCTTCCGGGCGGGGCCGCAGCAAAGGAAAAAACACCATCCAGGGGGGTGTTTCTTTTTTTTTGCTGCGGCCCCGCTCGGAAGCTCAGTCACTCACTGTGGGCCGGGGCGACCCTTCCGGGGCAGGGTCTGGATGGTGTTTTTTTTTTTGCTGCGGCCCCGCCCGGAAGCTCAGTCACTCACTGTGGGCCGGGGCGACCCTTCCGGGGCAGGGTCTGGGTGGTGTTTTTTTCTTTGCTGCGGACCCGCCCGGACGCTCACTCACTCACTGTGGCCCGGGGCGACCTTTCGGGGCGTGGGCCTGGGCAGCGATGGTTTCTCCTCCGCCGGAGTGGTGTTTTTTTTTTTGCTGCGGCACCGCTCGCCGTCGGGGTGTTTTTTTTTTTGCTGCGGCCCCGCCCGGAAGCTCACTCACTCACTGTGGGCCGTGGTGTTTGTTTTTTTGCTCTGGCCCCGCTCTTTCCCCTGCCTTTCGGCGGGGCCGGAGCAAAAAAAAAAACACCTTGCACGCCCTGGGACCGCAGCAAAAAAATTCTAGAAACCATTGACACGGGGCCCGAGCAAAAAGGGGCCACAACAAAAAAAAAAACACCCTGACCCGGGGGTGTGGAGCTTAAGGCTTGAGGACCTCAGGAGTCTATCCGCATAACGAGGGCAGTTAGTATGCATGTATATATATATATATATAGATAGATATAGATATGCAATCATATATGTACACACACACACATATATATATATATACTATCTGTCTACAACTATGTGTATGTGTATATATATATATATACACACAAAACACTGCATTTTTGCGTGTTGGTATAAGCTGCTTTATTTGCTTCATGAACCCTACGAACACTTAAACACGGGTCGGTTTCGCGGTGTACGGTTTAACCAGGTGTTGCTTGTCTTCATGACGGCTTTTCGAGAATGGTAACGCTTGGGGCTTGTATTATGTTCCCAAAACCGTAATTGAAAAACACCCTTTTGTCAATAGTAGCACATATATGGATCAATATGGATCCTTTGGGTAAGATTCCAATATCCTAAGCCTTAAACCTTAAACAATTCTTATAATTAAGGCCAAATTGCGTTCACCAGGTCATGACAGACCTTGAGCTATTGCGGATCTCGTTCTTCCGCCCCGGCTCGGACTACTTCCGCTTCTACAGGCCGGAGGAAGCGCAAGGGCTAGTTGGAGGCAGAAGCCTTTCGAGGTCGGATTTTCCAGGGTTTTCAGGCTTCAGAGCTCACTTTAATGCTTGGCTTTAGCCCTTTGGGAGTTTCGGCTGTAGGAGTTTCGGATTTTAGGCCTTTGTGCCTGCCAAGGCTTCACGGGTATTCTTCAACCCGGAAGCTGAGCCAGAGTCTCTGAAACTTGCTGGCCCTGGGCTTCAGATGCTCTATCTGTACCTCGTCCTCTACTTCGTCGGTCTAATATGCATTACATGAATGTAAACCTAACTTTCCACTCCAAACCATACAGCAATCAAGTCCTCGCGCCCCAAGGTGAAACCCTAAACCTTCAGCCTTAAAGCCCCTCAGACGGTAACCCCTACATAACCCCAAACTCTAAACCCTCAAGCCCATCAACCCTGAAACTTGGCTCCAGGTACTTAGATGAGCTGGGAGGCTTTTGGGAGCACCGCTGGGGCGTCAGGGGCCCAACTGTCAGCCCGCAAACCATGCTTCAAGGGACGAGTTCGAGGGTCTTTGAATTGAGCAGTTGTATGGGATGGACTTTTTGGTGAGGCTTGGGGCTTTAGCTTTGTTTCGGGCTGAAGAAGCATCACTAGAATAGGTTATGGGTATCCGGATAAGTGGCATGAGATTTGGGGTGTAAGGGATACTCGAACTATAGTAGGGAAGTACTAGGTGATCCGACTCCTGTACCCTACTAAACCATAAGCCCCTGAGAGCTTAAACCCCGACACCCCGTAGCCCTCTATACATACTGTAATATCTGTGTGTAGATATTATATACGTGATATATACATTATTTATTTATGTATTTACAAACACATAACTCCGACCAAGGACCATGCGGTACGGGGCCTCGGCGCCGGTATCGCGCTCCTGCCGCATGAGAGAGATCCGTCGGAGGCTTCGGTGGTTGTTTCAATTAGGGTTTAGGATTTTGGGGCCTCAGGGGTATTGGGTGTAGGAGTTTAGGGGTATAGGGTTTTGGGGGCTTAGGGTAGTTAGGGTAGTTTGAAGGGTTCAGTCCGGGTTGGTGTTTGAGGCGTAGGGTTTTAGGTGTTCGGTTTAGGTTTTTAGGGGTTTACGGTTTAGGGATTTGGATTTTGGGTGTAGGGTTTAGGTTTAACGGATGCAAGGACTTAGAAACAGTTACAGGTTCGCATGGCAAGTGCCCTGAATCCATGGAGCTACCTTACTAGGTATGACCATGTACCCTAAACCCTAAACCCCTAAACCCTAAACCCCTAAACCCCTAAACCCTAAACCCTAAACCCTAAACCCTAAACCCTAAACCCTAAACCCTAAACCCTAAACCCTAAACCCCTAAACCCTAAACCCCTAAACCCCTAAACCCTAAACCCTAAACCCTAAACCCTAAACCCTAAACCCTAAACCCTAAACCCTAAACCCTAAACCTTAGAACGTGCCGGCTGGGTCGATTATCCCCGAGGCTGAAGCCCGGAGGTTTCCTCTGGGCTGAAGTCTGGGTGTGGGGTTCTGGGTTTTCGGTGATATCATGGAGACGTAGCCTATCATGTTCGCATGAAAGGGTCAGACATGCTGTGTAGAGCCGTAAACCCTGTAACAGGGCTAGTGTTTGGGACTTCAAGGGTTCTACGGCTTGGGACTTGCCTTAGGGTTTAGGGTTTAGGGTTTAGGGGTTTAGGGTTTAGGGACCTCCGTTGCAAAACAGTAGAGTTTGTTCCTTCAAGGTAGTGGCGGGGACTAGACTTCGTCTTGTTGAACCTTTGGTTTTCGGCTGCCCGGAAAAATCCCAAAGCAGTAAGCGATGAATGCTGCCGACAAACTCCATCTGCCTTTTTATGGTAGAAGCCGAAGCCCGTTAGGGATGAGAATCTGATAGAGTGCAGGGTTTCGGATTCTGGACCTTTTTCTGTCTTTTCAACCTCCGAACCCCTACACCCCTAAACCGCCTCTTAACGACCTGCATCCCCCGGAGCCCCCCGCCCTGCTTGGCTGCATCACCCCAGACCCAGAGAGCCCAATACCCCTGAATTAAGGAACATGGCTGCAATTATATAGGGCTTCATATTATGATTTAAGGAATATTCCTTAATTACCCCAGAGATCCCACAGGATCATTGCGACAAGTTCTGGAATGTCGGGTAATTGGGTGCATACATTTGATGGCCTGCTGGGGGCAGGTGTTAAGGAGGTGGAAGGTTTAGCTTCTTTGATTACGGCTGAGGGAGTTTAGGGTTTAGGCAACCATGAACGTTTACCGCTGTCTAGACTAAGGTTTATGGTTGCGGGGCCCTTGCAGCCCTAGAAGCCTTCAACAAGCGCAGCAGGCCAATGAGACAACGCCGGCAGCCCGGTGTTCCACCACTTAGGATCTTGGAGCTTATTTGCACATGGAGGGTTATGCTGATGCCGACGGTTTAGGGTTTAGGGGTTTAGGGTGCTGAGTGCTAATGCCGAGCAGTGTGCACGTTGGTTCCACGTTCCGCCTTCTACTACTTCTTCTCCTACTGTACGACTCATATTCAACATTCAATGTTGCTGACAATGATAATCGCCGTCTCGCCACAAGAGGTTTTGCAGCAATCACTGTATTCGTCGACGTAGTACAGATGAAGCCGCAAGAGTAAACAGAAACCCTAAATCCCAAACCCCAAACCCTCACCCTCGACCGTAAACCTTACCTCTTTCAAGGATCCCTCTCATGGCCTACGACTTGAAATTGCCTTACGCCCACCAGGCGAGCATGTGGGGTTGAGGGGTTTAGGGTTTAGGGTCTTCGAGTTTCGGGTTTAGGGTGCGAGCTTAGGCTTTAGGATCTAGGCATTAGGCTTACTTTAGGCTTGGGGTTACTCTGATATCATCCTCCTGCTTCGTTCATCCTTTACTCCAAGGGTGAAAGGAGGGACCCTTAATAAGGACCCCTAGGTATATACCCTTAATATTGCTATTATATACCCATTATATAGCCCATTATAGGGTAGGGGTCCCTCCTTTTCCCCTAAACCCCCTAAACGTCCAAACCCCCAAACCCCTAAACCCTAAACCCTATACCCTTATAGCATATCCCTATAGATCCCTTTAAAGGGACCCTTAAAGGGCCCCTCCTTTTACCCTTAGTGGCGTAAGTCCCAAACTCCGCGTTCCAAGCACTTGGCCTGGCTCCCGCATCCCAGAGAGCCCAATACCCCTCAATTGAGGAATATAGCTTAAAATATATAGGGCTTCATATTATGATTTAATTAAGCTATATTCCTTAACTCCCTCATGGAATATTAAGGGCTCCTCAAAGGGCTCCTTAAAGGGATCTAGAAGGGTTCTATAAGGGAGTTAAGGAATATAGCTTAAATCATATTATGAAGCCCTATATATTTTAAGCTAAATTCCTTAATTGAGGGGTATTGGGCTCTCTGGGATCACGTTCAGAGGTTTCTTTTGGCAGTCGCAGAGAGAACGAGTATAACGTTAGACATGGCTTCGTTCGAGGTTGCGGGAGTTTGGAGCCGTACACCCCAACACCTCAAAGTCTGAAGCCCTCCATCCCCACCCCACCCCCCAGAGACCCTAACATTTTACACCCTGAACTTTCAACCCTGAATCCGCAACCCTCCCCAAAGCCCAAGCCCCTTAACCTCGACCCATCAACTCGAAACGATGAGCCCCGACACATGTCAGCATCGATACATTTTGGGGTTTGGGATTCAGGGGCTGGGGTTTCAGGGTCTAGGGTGCAGGGTAGGATTGGGGTTTATAAGCTGAAGCCGCGCACCTTCAATCCCGTACCTTGACCCGACAGCCCAACAAGAACCTCAGTAAATTGTAACTGTGTGCTTAGCCCCAATGTGGTACCCGCGGTCTCTGGCGGAGATAGGCTACTGGTGAAGCCCATATGAGTCCCATTATAGTATCCTTAGGGGGGGGTCCGAGGGGGATAGATAACCTACTAATCCCTAGTTCTCCCTAGTGCTCCCTAAGGTTCCCTTGAGGTTCCCTAAGGATCCCTTGTACCCTCACCCCTTAAACCACATAAGGACCCTATAATCCAATGGTGGCCGGAGGAGTTCAAGGCACAATCACGCCGCAAACCAATGTGTCGGGACATTCTTGGAGGTGACCTGACTGAGGTGTGCCGGGGTGTCCAGGCAGGCAGCACTCCCAATGCATCCAATGTGGCGAGTGCAGCAGGCCTCCTGGCACTTCGGTGTTTCTGCCACACAAGGTTGCACCCGGTTCGTCGGCAGTCGGCTGCTGTTGCCTTATGAGCAAGAGCCGCGGCACCCGGAACCGGTTGCGCACGTAAACACTTTGCTTCCTCCTCGTCACCCTCGTCCACCGCCACTGGTGGGGTTGGTGCGGATGGGGCCAGTGCCGCCTTTCGGATACTGCCACCACTGCCACCTATGGGACCCATGTTGTTTGTGATTTGTGATGCGTCCAACACCGACCTGTGCGAAAGGCATAACCGCTGCCACTCGTTCCATAGGGGGTGTAGAGAACATGATCATGCTTTGGGGTCCAGATTGAATTCCTAAGTCCTACAATGCTATGTCGTATTACCCGACATCTGCTTGCCTTCGGCCTCAAATTAACGGGGCCCTCAACCGTAAGACCCTCGCCTCAGAAAGGCGGTGAGACCCTAAGATGCTAAACTCCTAAGCCCGTATAACCGCCAATATATCAAGTTATGGCAAAGTCACTTGAATCATATTCTACTATAACATGCAATAGTATACGTGAACTATGAATCCCTCGCAAATCCCTTGTCCACTCTGTAAGAAACCCGAAGCCTAGACCAAGTCGAAGGGCAGCTGCTTCTGCCAAACACCGGGCCGCCGGTGCGAGGAGCAGGGGCAGGTGTGTCTCCCTCAGGGTTTAGAGTTCAGGATGTAGGGTGGCTTTTCTGGAGGTCTAAGCAAAGAATATTCTAGCAGTGCTTATGGTGCGGGGCTTCGGGGTTTGGATCTGTAGCTTAGAACCGAAGCTTCAGTGCGCAGGAGTATGGGTCAAGTGCCGATCTAGATTATGGTTGCTAGGGCTTCATGACATGCATGGTTTTCTATGGCTACCGGTGCTGTTGCTGCGCTGCCCCTGCTGTCGTCGTTGTCGTGGTGTTCCAAGCCTCTATACGCCAGCATGGAGCCAGACATGCAGAGCCAAGTCAATAATTACCAATGTTATTGCTAGCGGCAAGGTAATATGTCCCAACATTGTTCCAAGCATGTATATCAATAAATACATATGTATGTGTGCGTATATACATATCATATATGTGTGGATACATATATATATATATATATATATATGTGTATACATATGTGCATGTGTACATATACGGGTGTGTATATATGGTTGTGCGCTGGTATCCCCCCCCAACTACAAGGGCCTGAAGCCTGGAGGCCTGGAGGACTCCCGCTGTATGTGTCTCAGAGCAAAAGGGAAAACCATGCCGTTCCACAGGGGGGGGAAAGAGAAAAGGCAAACCAGCGGGGGGGGGGCGGGGAGCATACACGTCGATTACTTATGAAAAGATGTAATAGCACCTAACAGGATACCAGGGGGGGGAGGGGGGGGCCCGCCGGAGCACAAAAATATGAGCTGCAGCGCTGCTAGGCCATATATATATATATATATATATATATATATATATATATATATATATAATCATAGATACATACAGGCCCTATATTACAAGTGCGGCACTCGATCGTTGCAGCTCTCACGCATGACTGCATCCTATGGGGGTAGGTGTTCTAGATTGTGGGCCAAATTGTGGGCTCTCCTGCTGGGCATGTAGACTGTAAGCTTGTAGCTGTACTCCTCGCTGTATGCTGCTATATACCCCAGAAACGCATGCACAACCGAATCTCGATGAGGGATCCTAGGGGGCTGTTGGAACGCAATGTAGGGGTCGGAATAATAGATGGTGGTACCCCCCCCCGTTTATGGTCTTATTGTGACAATTATGTCTTATCATTTCTGACTTTATTGCCAGACTCCCCCCAAAACCCAGCGCTGAATCCTAAACCTACACCCTAAACTGCCCTAAACCATAAACCCTACGACCCCTAAGTTAGAGCAACCTTGGTGGAGGCCGCCTCGGGCGAAGCCTTGTGGCCGATTAAGAAAAAGGCAGGGGCAGGATCGGGGATGAGGTAGCAGGACCCTCCTTGTACCCTCAAATAGGGGTATATGGTCCTTAGTAGTAGGCATTTAGGGTCTAATAGAAGGTAGCTTAGTGTTGGATCCTAAACCCCAAACCCTAAACCCGAAACCGCAAACCCTAAACCGAATCTGTGGACGTTACGGTGGGTTGCTTGTAAGGATGAGAAGTTTCTGGTCTCCGGTGAGTTTTAACATTGGTGTTTTGATGGTCTATCCTCTAAGGGTACCATCACGGTTTAGGGGCATTTAGGGTCCATGAGACTCCATGTAGCTATGCAGAGTTCGTTTAAGGACTTCCTCTGTGGGGCTTCATAAGAGATTCATTGCCCCAAGGGAGATGCACCTACATATTACTACTTGGGCCTTAAAGTTTTTGAGGACAAAGGATGTTCCACTGGTTGGAATTATACGGGGAAGGATTGAAGCGACGCCGACGCGGAGAGTTGTGTTGTTCGGAGCATCTGGCGCAGGAATTCTCAGCCATGAAACAAGGTTTAGGGTTAAGGGTTGCAGTGCTGCAGATCTTCAGTTTTCCTGATTCCTAGCTCAGACTCTATAGGATTCATTGTCGGGAGCTTGAGATGCCTTCCCAGACCCCTTTTTTTGCTGAAGCTGCTATTGAGCTTGGTATTTGTAACGGAGATTATGGCCTGCAGCCTACTTGGAGGTTCATGGGTAGTTATAAGTGCAGTTATAGGTCGGGTAACTACAGTTATAAGACCTATTAGCGGACTTATAACCCTACTTATAACTACCCTAAACCCTAAATATCTATACCCTTATAGAATCCCTATAGATCCCTTTAAAGAGGCCCTTGTAACTACCCATGAACCTCCAAGTAACCCTGAAGTGCTCCGGTCTGGAAGGTCTGGGCATGTGTCCCAAACGTGACGGCGAGCAGCTCGTAGCCGAAAGTGTCGCCGGTGAGCTTTAGGGATGCTTGGACCTTCTGTTTAGGGTTTAGCTCACAGTGTGTGCGTTCTTGTCGGTTGAGGGTTCAGGGTCTAGGGATTCTGTCGGTTTCGGATTCAGGGTTTAGGGTTTTTACCGATTTTGGGGTTCAGAGCTTGTAGGGATTGACTCTTGCTGTTGGCAAGTAGGGTTCCCGTGGAAACATACTGTGATTTTCCCGAAAAAATGCCACTTGGGTCCACTGACCTGGAGTGCAGTGCAGTGAGCTTCAACAGCCAGTGGCTGACAACAGACCTACGTATCCCCTTGTAACCCCGTGTTTAGTTGGGCCCAGTATACCCAAGAACCCTAGTCTATTCAATCAGGCCCAAATATTAATCAAGTCCAATATGATGCCGAAATTAGCCGAGGGCACCTTAGGGCCCCGTCTCGGAAAGGGCCATCCTTTATCTTCATGACAAAAGCCTGAAACACGACGGGGTTTAGGGTTTGGGCGAAGGTTTACTGAGCTTTGGAGTACCATGCTCCAATACTGTTTTCTTAGAGGACTGACTATGAAATAAGCGTTTACACTTTTTCTCCCTGGTTACTTAAACGCCCAGGTTACTGAGGGGTACTATGAGGGTTACCATAATTGCAAGGGTCA